ATGTCTTCAAGGACATCAATTCTCTTATAAGTAAGAAGAAAATAGAAGTGGGTGGCAAATCAATTAATTTGGAATTTTTCCTAGGGGGCGATTACAAATTCATTTTACTTGTGATGGGTTTGAAGGGTGCTACCTCACACTATGCATGTGTATGGTGCAAAATACACAAAGACATGAGGTGGGACACAAGCTTCAATTTAGACCATTATCAATCTCCAGATCTAAGGAGAACTCTTACAGAGATGTTTGAACTAGTAAAGAAAAAGAAACAAAATGACAAATATTGCTGTGAACATGAGCCTCTACTTCATATAGAGCTCGATCATGTAGTGTTGGATGAACTGCACCTTCTATTAAGGATTTCAGATGTTCTCATAGAAAATTTGGTTCGGGATGCCTTAGACTGGGACAGAAGCAAAAACTGGGACAAGAGGAAATGTCAACAAAAAAATGAACACCTAAAAAATTTGCAGGCAGCAATTCGATCATGTGGGGTCTCCTTTGACATATGGGAAAAAACAAATGCTGATGGGAAAGGGTCTGGGCAATACGATTTTACTAGCCTCTTGGGGTCAGACAAGAAAAAATTGCTTAATGAACTTCCAACCAAACTCAATGGGATTATTCAGCCAGATACAGTTGAAGTAGTAAAAACTGTATGGGAAAAGTTTAGGGAAATATATAGCACTGTAACCTGCAGGAATCCCTCCACAGAAATGATAAATGACTACTTCTGGAAAGCAAAGGAATGGGTGAATCTGTTTACATCACTAGGAGAAAAAAGGCATGGCTATAAAAGAGCTAATGTAACCCCATACATGCATGCTATGGTCTACCACATTCCCATATTTCTGCAAAACTATAGAACTATCAAACTGTTTACAGGGCAAGGAGTTGAAAAAAACAATGATATGGCCAGGGCTATAGTTCACAAAAAATCTAACAAATGGGATGCTCCTGCTGACATTCTTAAGCTTGAGTCCAGACAATGGAATCTACGCGACAGTGAGCGTGCAAAGAGAACCTACAGTAAAAGGAAAAGTTCCTATTGGGAACATGATCTCAGGGAAAACAGGAAGAGCAAAAGACTACGAGAGAAGAAAAATTAATAATGCCACCTGTGAATTGTAGTAGCATATCTTGTATATAGGTCAGAGATTTATTAATGGTAGGATTGACATGATAGTAAAACATTGTCATTTATTCTTAAGGTACAGGTATTTACAATTATATTGAGACAGAAAGAGTATAAAAACTGATTTGTATCAGAATTATATATACTGATATTGTACACAAAACCATTTACACATATATAAATAAACTAATTTGCAGAAACACGCAATGGCTTTTTCTTACAATTAATGCTTAGTTTTTCAATAAAATACCTAGGCGATGATATTATTGCTTTTTCCTTGCTCACAGTATGGTTTTTAGGGCTTCTTGACATAAATAGCCGCACTTTTATAGGAAATTCAACTAGTGTTCCATCCCCCAAGCTATCTAAAAGTCTGTCCCAATCAATTGGAAGGGAGCAGTTGGAAAAATCCTGTTTTTCCAACAGTACATTTCCAAAGTCTTGGCTTTTTTTCCCCTTTCCCCTGAAAAGATACTGGAAAACATCATGCCTGAATGGAATGATTGTTGGAGATAAACTCTTTGAGGCAAGGTTTTCCAAAATTGCAGCATGCAAGGCATCCACACTTGAACTAATTAACTCCTGGGTAGGCTTTGGGTTTAAATATGCTCTAAAAAGGGAAAAAATCAATAAAGACAATTTATTTTTGGTCAGATAGAGATAGATACCTGTACAGTTGAAAAATGTACTTGAATTTTATATACAAAAATGCCAAAGATTAACCATCAAACAGGGAAATTGAATCACTAAATATTGCCTATGACAATAAGACAACAATCGGTTTATTTAAAAAATTAGAATTTTCAAAATATTTGCTTTCACGGGTTTTAAGATTGTAACATCGGAACTTGTGACTAAATTATTTGATCAAATCGTAGAATCTCAGAAATGCTACTGTCAAGTTCCATATTAATGCCCAATGAGAGAACTTATCTTAATCAAAACACCGTTCTCACTTCAGTGCCAACGAATTAAGGTTTTCTTCTGGTTCCCAAGTGTTGGAGAGGGAGCCGTAGCCCTTCCACTTCACAAGATATTCAACCTAAGGCGTAATTGAGATATATTTTAGCCTGATTATTGACTGACTCCATTTGAGTACATCAGATCGGACAAACAAAACGAAGCAACTTACCTTGCCTTTGCGGTTTCTCTTTGAAATCACACGTTCCACCTCATAATATGGTCCCTTGGCTGATGATTTCAGCCTCTTTTGATCATTAAAAAAATCGGCAGTGCTCAAATTATTCAATTCGCGGTAAAAGGAACACGTCTTCTTAGCCGCCATTTTTAGATCGAGGCAACCTTAGCAGCTATTCAACATTCGCATAAAATGAGCCTACGGTCGGAACCGCTGGCTGTCCTTGATTTCTGGCCATGTTGTTTTAGAGAGGTTTCTGCACTTCTTTTGACTATCAATATAATTTTTGTACATACTTATGGGCTGTTATTTATTTGATATCATCAAATGTTATAGAATTGCAGTTCAAAATCTGAAGATGAGGCATCAGACTTGAACAGTTAATATTTTAATTTACCAGGTATGGTTAATAGGGCGAGACCTCCCAAATTTGTCATGGTAGAATAAACTTTGTAAACCGATTTCAACTTTTTTTTATTTATCAGCTTACACATTTGTTAACTGTTCTATTAAAACTCTACTAGTTTATTTCTGTTCCTTATTGCACTTCAATTGCCCCCTTACTCCATCGAGGATATGTGATTTGTTTATTACTGTAATTTAGAAGTGTAAGTAACTGTCCGTATGACAACGAGTAAGTAAGATGGTGATTAAAAATATAATTATAATCATTGTTTTCTTACAAATAAAAACAAATAGCCACAAACCTAATAGACAGAGAGCATTGCAATCCCAATTGCACTTTATTTACTCTGGTGTAAGTAATGTATTAATAGTAGTGCAAGCACAAAGTTGGTTTAATATAACTTATGTACTGTAATTAATCTATTCCATACCAAATTTTAAACTATTTTTATAAGCATCATTTAGTTTTTTTTTTTTTTTTGTATTGTAAGTTGTTAAAAGCATATGTAGATAAAAAAAATTTTTTGGTTTGATTTCTACTTAAAATTGCAAGAGGATGCTAATTAGAAAAGGAACAAGGAGGTTGTGCCTTGATTGCATATTGTAGGAAGGGTCAAAGAAACAAAATTGAGCATGTAATTTCTTATTTAACATTAATCTTTACATATATTTGTATGTATGTATATTTCATTAACAACATACCTTTTCTTATTAATGGGGATGACCCTAAGGCCCTTAATGGAAGCGGACATTTGGCCTTAAATGAATAAAGTCTTTCTCATTATGCTCCTCTAAAATCCGTTTTGCCGCTACTTTAACCAACACCAACACCACCAATGACTTTTCCACAATTGACTCTATCACTATTGTCTTCTGTGCCATCAACTCCACCTAGGGCACCATCTTCAGCACCTTTGTCACAAACACCACTGCCACCAAAAATAAGTGTAGTTGTGTTGCATAGCAACAGGAAGAAATGATGGAATGGTTTGACACCCTAATTACAGTAATTTGTGGTCCCACATAATCAGCTAGCCCCCTTGTCAAAACCCATGAGGTTCAACAACCAGCTCCACCATCCAGTACATCTTTGGATGCATCTACTACATACATGCCATCAGGGGAACACACAAAAGAGGACATCCTCCTTTCACTGTGGTTGCAGTCTGCATCCACAAAAAATTTGGAGTACATCTTGTGCAGCACTGCTTTTTACCACAAGGATTAGATAGATGCAATGGAAGAGGGATTGGGAACAATCTTACCCTAGATCCAGTAAAAATGAAAAAGACCAGAAAACACAACAAGAACAGCCATGATATGACTGTCATAAAGACATTGACAGTTATCTCTGTTATAAGAAGATGTCTGATCAGGGACACTCTAATTAATATATAGATAAACTGCTGTTTGTTTGTTTTCTAATTTTTTATCACTTAAAATTTCATTTAGTTTTATTTTCTACTGTAAAATGAGCTTGGTTATGATGTGAATAAACTATTTGGGTTGTTGCTATTTTCTTTGAGAGATTTTGATGCCATATTTAAAATTTGAAAGTGTGGCTAGAAAGGTCTTGACATTGTTGCCAGACACTTGCATAATTTGCTAATGAACTTTAGTCTTTTGAAGCATACTTGATTTTTACACGATTTTCTCATGTTTAACACTAAGAATTACCGTAACTTGACATGTCAAGGTTATTGTGTTAATCGCATTGAGGAATTTTGTCATTTTTACGATGGCCAATTTACGTTTTAAATTCAGTTGTTAACACTAAATTACCTTTCTATACCGTGGAAATTTCACAAGACAACAAGGAAAACGTCAAACAAAACATTAGAGGGTTTCCACGTCCAACGATAGAAGTAAGCAGAAGTTAAGCCATCTGCGCGCTTTCATATAATCTAGGCGGGAAATACACGTTAACAATGGTAAAAGACACGCATTTAAGCTTGAATTAAAGCTTATAGTAAGCTCACCTATGTTTTAACTTGTAGGTCCGTGGTTCAGAGAGCTCGAGTCGTCTTCGGCATAGAAACGGCTCCATTTACATCTGATCTTGAAGTGTTGCCTCCGGAAAGCTGAAAAAGGCAAAAGCTACGTTAAAAAATGAATTCAAATGACTTATTCAATGATTTTATAAGCTTAATATTTGCGTACAGTCGGCAAACACTCACCAAGTAATTGCTAAAGTTGTGTAGCTCTCGATCAAGTTTGTAATGTAGCAATTAAGAATAGTTATGGGATATTCCACCCAAGAGCAAGAGCAGTTCCTTTTCAAGGTCCATGATTGGTTTAGATCAGATGTCCGACGGGGGACTGGTACGGAGACAATATGGCGGACAGAGCGGCGGACATGAGTTAAAGATTTGTATTACAAAGGTTTATTCAGTGGAATTTTGGACATTTTGGAGAGATCTTTGGCAAGATGTTTGGTGATAAAGCACTTGAGCTTGTGAAGGAACTTAAAAGAGCCATGGAAGGGACTGTACCACCTTACAACGTGAGATATTGTTTACTTCTGTTTATTCGTAAATTGGCGGGAAAAAATACGCACAGAACTTCCTACCATTCATTGAGACTTTAAAGTAGCTTTAAAGCTAAGCGTTGTGTTTTTTGCTCGGAATTTTTACATGTTATGTTCGAATGATGTGAGACAAGTCGATGTGCAGCAGTGAAATGTTACAACATTCTCTCAAACAGTACAGTCATATCAACATGCAAATCATTTTGAGTGACTGGCTGTGAGAATCTTATTGAGATGGTAAGTATCTTTAAACTGCCGATATCTGTATCGATTTTTCCTCTCACTCAATACCTCATTCTCATTTCTTCCAACAAATTTTAATCTTTAAGATCGTTTTTGATAATTAAACTATATTTTGGTCCACCTTACCTAGCTCGTCACAATAAATTTTTTGGTGCTCTCTTTCTTTTCTTTATACAAATAATTTCATGAAATTGAAATGATTGATTTTATTTTATTTTGTGTATCAAAGGAGGATTTGATTAGGCAAGTCCTTGAGGAAATGAAGATTTTGTTTGAGCAGAACCAAAGAGAAGTGTGAGTAATACCTGAACAATCCTCTGAAAACTACCCCATGTAAAGAATCACAAACTTGGAAAATTCTAAATTTGACGCATATGAGATTGTTACTAATTGTTAATGAATCAATCTAATCAGAAGAACCTGATATTTGAAAATGGAAATCCAGGATGATTAAGTGTTCTCAGATTACATAATGTTGTCTTGAGGAACAACTCTCTTTGATTGTTATTATTACCTTTTCTTTCAATTTGTATGAAGTATAGTTGGTTATATTTTCATTAATTCAGAGTAATGTAGACTATGATGCAACCCTTTATGCTCCCAAGATCTCATTAGTAATTCTCCTTACTGTCTACTATATAATTCTTGTGATGTTAATTCTGAGAATGTGTCATTGGATCAACTAATAATCCCCTAATTTATCTAGTTCTCTTTTCTCATTACTTTTCTCCTTGACATTTATTGATTGTGTAAGGAGAAATTCTCTCATGGTCACTCATGCAAGTAAAAGGGTTAATAAGCAACTAGTTAATCAGGTTTACATGTATCCATTAATTTGCTTACACTAATTAATTATTTCATTTCCTTTTCCTTTGTTTAGTGCACTAACAGTTGAGGGAGAAACTGGTTTGTTTTCTGGAGTTCATCTGAGGCATGCAAGTTTAGAGAGAAATAAAAGATGTCTTCTTTCTTACATGTAAGTTAAGATATAACAATATTATCCAGATTAATCAAGTTCATTCAGTGTTTCTGGGTAATTTTGTTCTATTTTTTTCAGGGAAAGTCCAGGGGTAACTTACGGGGTATTTTGAGATCTATGACATGACTGGATGGTTTTGATAAAGATAAATCTAACCATTACCTTTCAAAGAGGCTTTTTTTTAGTGAAATGTCTATTACCCTGAGACTGAAACAGAGATTTTACTGCTCAAGTTTATGAGTTCATATTAAAAGCTTGATGATTTCTGAAACTCTTTTCAACAAAATTATAATAATATCATCAAGATCTAATTAATGTATGCAAAAGCTTAAGCTAATTTTTTGTACTCTGTATACTTCTTTGTGTAATTATTTAGCTATAATAGGATGTTGAGGATGAAGGACCTCAGGTGGGAGTTTGGAACTGTTTTACCTGAAGACATCAAATATAATTTATGTGAACAAGAGGTTGGTAAACTTAATATGATAATAACAAATACAGGTGCTTACAGCTATAGATGTAGCATGTATTTCCACTTTATTTCTGTAGCCAACTTTTTAAGCACTACATAAATAAACAATTTGAAAATTTTTTGATACTTCTGATTGAGATATTTACACACTTTTTTATTTCTGTAGCCAACTTTTTAAGCACTACATAAATAAACAATTTGAAAATTTTTTGATACTTCTGATTGAGATATTTACACAGGGATGAATTTTACTGTTTTGATATTCCTTCTTTTTTTGTATTTCAACTAATACTGTACATGAAAAAATTGCACTCTTCTGATTGGCTAAAAAACAAGTGTATTCTCATGTAACATGTGTGCAAAGTTGTAACACAAGTGCAAATTACACTTTCAAAATTTCATTTGTCTTGACTTTCTGCATTGTTTTTTTAATGTATATTATTAATAAATAATATGATTTTGAGTACAATTTGGTGTAATGAGGGCTTGTAAATTTTTCAAAGATTACAAATTGCACTTGTCTTGCAGGCTTGTGCAATTTTGTTGTCTTAAAAAATTTACTTATGCTTATATATACCAAACTGCACTCAGAATCATGTCATTACCTTTATAATTAAATTTGTTAAAATTTACTATAGGTTCAGTGGTTTACAAAGTACAATAAATCACTGGCAACATACATGAGGACAGTTGGTTTGGACCTGACACAGGTAACAAGACTTTCCTTCCTTTGTAACATAACTAAACTTTCATTATAATCATCATTACTAATTTGAATACAAAGAGGGTTGAGGAGACAACAGTTAAGAGTGAGAAAATTAAGACAAATTGTTATGCAAAGAGCACAGTGTCATTCCACCCAGGAGTTTAGATAGGTAGCAGCAAATTGTCAGGGAACCTGATTAAATGCTGGGGGTTGAGGAGACAACAGTTAAGAGTGAGAAAATTAAGACGAATTGTTATGCAAAGAGCACAGTGTCATTCCACCCAGGAGTTTAGATGGGTAGCAGCAAATTGTCAGGGAACCTAATTAAATGCTGGGGGATAACCTTGCTATGGACTGGCATCCTGTCCAGGGAGGAGTAGTAATACTCCTAGTTGCTTCATGCTATAGAAACCTGGATAAGCTCCTGCTTACTACCTAGTCATATTTGTGAAAGATAAGATTTCTAAAGAGTGGAAAAAGACCCCTAAAGGTCCTAACCCTTTAACTCCCATGAGTGACCAAGACAGAATTTCTCCTTACAATATCAATACAATATCAAGTATACAAGTAATGAGAACAAAAAAAAAATATCAGTCAAGGGATTATTAGTTGATCCTATACCAAATTCTCTGAACTAACATCACAAGAACTGTATGGCAGACAGTAAGGAGAATTACTGATGAGATCTTGGGAGTGAAAGGGTTAAGGGAGGAACAGAACATGGCTCTCAGAGGTCTGTCCTGGCACTTGTTTGTTCTTTTGAGATCTGTGTAAGAATTTTTAAGAAAGCTGACAGATGCATCTCATTTTGAATTCTTAACTGACAGGACATGAAGCCACCAAAGTCACTTTACATAGAGGTATGCCTTATTTTCTTACCCAAAGTTAACTCGTTTCTCATAACTTAGGAGGTTCTTGTAAAAGTCTAAGCTTATCACATAGTTAAAAAATAATAATTTGAATTCTGCAATGCAGGTGCGATGTCTGGAAGATTATGGAGAATTTGAAACAGAAGATGGAACAGTTTTGTTATTGAAAAAGAATAGTCAGGTAGGAGGAATTATACTAAATAAGGGTACTTAACCCTTTATAGCTCAACATCAAAATGCATATTCTCCTTACTGTTCTTACTGCATTTCCTATGGTACTGACAGAGGAATTTGTGTATCATTTACAAGATTAATTTAGTCAGTGATCATCTCCTTTATTCTCATGATGTTTTATACAATGGTGGTGCTGTAAGGAGAAGTTCAATACTGGTCAATCTTGGGGGTTAAAAAGTTAATATTGTTCACTCCTTTTGGGTGATAGTCCAATTTCAAAATTGACAATATTTTCTGGGGAGTAGTGATAATTTGAAAATTTTGGTATTAGTGATTAGAAAACAATTGTTTTAGAATTGCTTGATTCCCATTCTTTTATTAACTTGTAGAGCATTTAAGTTCACAAAGCAACCAGGTGGACAATCAGACATAGTTTGATGCTACTCTGGTTTAAAGATTAAATGAATGTGACAGAGAAGTTACAATGCATAGACCTAACGTTTCAAAGCTCCTGCCTAGTGTCTTCATAAGGGGTGATCTAATTGCTGCCACAAGAGGTCCTTTTATACACTCACTAATTAGCTGCCCTTTTTATACCTCGTCAGAAAAAAGGCAGCTAACTAGCGAGCATATGGAAAGACCTTGTTGCAGCAATTAGATCACCCCTAATGAAGGCACTAGACAAGAGTGTGAAACATTGGGTCTTTGAATTTTATTTTCCTGGTTACATTCATTGACTCTTTAAACCAGAATAGCATTAAACCATGTCTCATAGAGCTTTGTTTCCTTCCCTCAGCATTTCCTGCCAAGATCTCATTGTGAACATCTCATCAGACAAGGAATCCTTGAACATATTCTGTAGAGCAGCAGAGTGGATGGTCAAATATTCAGTAACAACATTCACAGTCCCCTTAGCAAGCAAATCAAAACCCTGACAAAGTTTAATCTGGCAGCCAGAAATGTGTGCAATATCAGAGCTAATTAAGAGCCATTTCAATACATTTATAGAACTGATGAATTGAATTTTGGTGAATGAAATAACTTGAAATAAAGACTATTTTAAACAGTTTTTGGATTTCACTTCTTTTCCAAAAAGCAGCTACCTATCTTCCCTTCCACATTTTTCTGTGGGTTTTTGTCAGATTAATGTATATGTATCTGTCTTTGATTAGTTACTAAGAACCTACCTGGATAAACATTTGAAATAATGCTGAAAATGACAGAATAAACATGTCAATGTTTAGTGCAAGTGTATTTTGATTGTACCTAATATCCAAAGGCAGCAATGTGTCAGTGATCTTTCAGCGAATAATGACTTTGGGTAATACTTGAAGTCAATAAAATTCTGCTCAGAGCTAATATCCAAACACAGCATTGTATCGGTGGTGTTTTTGAAAAGAATCACTTTGCGCATTACTTGTGGTCAATAGTTAAAAAACCAATGAAGTTCCGATCGGACGTAATATCCAAATGCAGCAATGTGTCAGTGATGTTTTAGCAAAGAATCACTTTGTGTCATACTTGTAGTGCATTAATTTTTAAAAAGAAATAAACGACCGACCACCATCTGAAGCATTCATTCGTTCAAGGACTGATTCTAACTGTGCTTACAAAAACACTTATCATGAAGTATGAATGAAGCTTCAATCGCAAGAAGACAATTCTATGTTGTATTTGATAAAGGTCTCTTTTCTGCTTGCATCTTACATTCCGTTAATCTCTTTCTAGTAGTTCTATGTTGCAATTGGAAATGGATGCAAGCATTTTTCCTCTCACAAAAGTTATAAAATAACGATGACAGAGCCCGTGTAATTAATACAGCCTTGCGTGACTAAATTTTATGGCGTGACACTTCGCGTCCAAGCGCGACAGAGAGCGTCTCTACCGTTACAGATTGGTTGCAAGATCGTTCCAGTGGACCGCATACAAAAGCATTGTGCAATATGTGACGACTTATTCATTTCCGGGATAGTACTGGACGTAGTCGCAACTACGATCAAGCACATATCGTCATGCTGGACCGCTATGTATTTACTCTCTCTTTTGCATTTCTGTTCAGCGTAGCTGAGATGTCTAACAAAGTTGACAGTTTTCCAGCACCGTTCTACAGAGTTTTAAGTCTGGAGAACCCGCCAGTGGAAGGTAATCTTGCAAGTACTGATAATATTGAACAACTTTTTGAGAAATTAATTCAGGAGAATTGAATCGGAGGGATCTATTCACTGCGCCATTTCTTTACGGGAGTAAGAATGCAGGGGAGAATCTGCCTTTCGAAAGCGTTCGAGCCTATGTTCAGCAAGAAGATGATTGATGCTATATTTCCAGCGATTTCGTAAAGTTATGAGAGGTAATCGGAAACCAAAACAAATTTTACATAAATTAGCGAAGAGTCCTAATTTCAACCTTTAAATAAAATAGAAACTAAAGTTAATTCCTCTTTTTCTTGTGTGGATTTCAATGTCTTCCCTGTTCCTTCTACCAAATTTAACTTCTCGAAATTTGAGTCCATATTTTTTTTGACACGAGTGTTTTCTTCCGTGTCGAATTGTGAGGACACCTCTTTATCAACCTTGTGCACGGAATGCGAAGTGACTGCAAAGATTTCAATTTTGATTTAGTTGGGGAATTATTTTTGGGGAACGATATATCCAAAACGTAACGGGAAATGTGAAACTACGGGTCTTAAGAGTGTTTGTTTGTGTGTTTGTTCGTTTGTTTCGAACTCCAATTGTCGCACGACTTGTCGCAATCATTATTCTAACTGGTGCGATACTAGTGTTTCGATACCTCGTTCAACCATTTTGACCATCAAACCTTATAAGTAGCTTCACTACCTGGGACTTGCCAAAGTACTAGTTACTCATAAAACTAGGAGATTAACAAGCCGACAAGATGGCTCAAAAGCTTATCACAACATGCAACCTTCTCTGAAGCCAAGGTTTTCTGGTCGCCCCTTATCAACTGCTCCCCTCCCCTTTAACTGTTCATGCTCCAAGGATAATACCAACTGCCTTGGCTGTGCAATTATTTTAAATTAAAACAGGAAAAGATGTTGTGATCCTACAAAATCTACTGCTGAGATCACCATTTGTGAGGCCCATTAGAACAAGTGGTGTGTACAATAGGGAAACCAGTGAGGCTGTAGCCAGCTACCAGAAGGGAAATGGCTTGCCAAGGTATAGCTCAACAAAGAAGAATCATGCCACATTTGGCAGCAAGTAGATAAGCTTTACTGTCTGTCAAGTATAATTGTAACATGAGCAATCCATACACATCTGTATGGTTAGTGAATCAGCTTTTTCTTTTAAGCAAGTGGGATTGGGAGAGGTAGGTGTGTGGGAAGCTGCCGTCAATCAAGGGTTGGAGCATATGCAAGCAGAAAAAGGTGATGCTCTGAGGGAAGGGGCAGTAAAGCTAAAAAAAAAATCAGTTTTCCTTTCCTGACCCTGCCTTCTGCTTTTTTTCTTCCCATGCTTTTCTGCAGTTGTACTTGGCTTGAAGGAAATAGATAAGACCATTGCATATAGGCTAATCAAGAAATATGCATGCAATTACCCACATACTGGTAAGGAAAATGTAACAAAGTGGTTGTGGGTAACTGCCAATGCCCTAACTTCTCATCCTGGAAGAGAGGAAGAGAAGCACTTATCAAGTTGGTTCATACTCCAGATGGTTGCGTGGGTAATTCGTGTGAACACCTACCCCCTAAACTGATACCCTATGGGGAGGTAATTGGGTATTCTAGGGTTAGTGATAGTGGGGTGGGGAGAGGGGTCAGACTTTTCAAAGAAATTTGTAAAAAACTAAATGGACTTCCAGAGTTACAAGAAAATGGCCTAAACTAAAAATCTAGTAATGGGATGGATATCAAAATTTTTTTAACAATCCACATTATGCTTACATTCAGATAAGAATAATTTTTTTTTTCACTTGAATGCATGAGTGCTTAAATCTAACTATATTTTGGATATGCAGATGGTAAATCAATTAAACATGTGAGGCTAGAGAAAAATCTGTGGTTTTTTCAACTCCTGACCCCATTGTATAGTTTTGTAGTTAAACAATTTGCAAGTCTTGGATGTATAAGGTTTTAAGGAACAGAGTCATAGAACCCACAGAGAACTGAATGTAAAAAAATTGCCTTTACTTCAGCAATGGTGTATTGAATGCAACAACAGCCTCTCTTGTTCTCAAGCAACTGATGTATGACGGATATCGAGACGATCACACTGTGCCTTCAGGGTATAAATTTAAGGTAAACAGTAGAACAAAAAATTAACTTTATCACTCAAAGGGAAAACCCTTCCCTGATCGAATGGCTAAAGTTAAGTTTAAGATCAAGGGTGTTTGTATAGTCCTCTTTAATATGAAATATTATGTAATAGTGATCTGGAAACCATTTAAGATGTACCAGATGAAAGGGAATGGCCATTGCTTTCCATACTGATTTTCAAATTGATATATACAGGTTCATGTTCCTGTGTACAAAGATCGGACAATTGAAACAAATGCCACTCTTTACAACTCAAATAACAAGGTGATGTAGAATCAACAGATTGTAATTTTTTTAATAAAGTTACTTTTTGATTTTCAATAGTCTTTAATTTGTTGGACAGAGAAATTTTTAGTGAAATTTTTAGTTTTCAATCAATTACCATAATATACAAATCTGCAAATTAAATTACTAAACAAAAATATTTTTTCTCAAATGCAGGTCATGTACACATTTCGCGCACGTTGCCATGGTGCCATGAATGCTGCTGGCAAAGATATAAATCAGCTTACAAGGAATGGAAATACTCCAACTGGACTTGTGGTACAAATTCCTTATTTAAATTTTCCATCCAAGTTTTTTTTTATCATTGTCAATGTAGTATTACAGTACAGTGTCTGACATTATGTGAATATTTATCTATTTTTTACAATAATAGACATTTGACCTCAACAGTCCTGAGCCAGACCCAAAATCATTTGGCCCGTAAGTACTTAAGTATATTTTCAAATTATTTTGATAGAATAAATGGGAGTCAACATTAGCATTGTGAACCTTTTTGTTTTCATTTCAAATTAATTTACTAGTGTTCTTGTAAAATCCTTCATTATTGGCAACTATAAGCCCCATTAACTTTAAACCCTTAGACTAGGGTCTAAAATTTCCTTACAATATCACCCCTGAATCAAACATTTAGGTCACAAGAATAAAGGAAATGGTCACCAACAAAATAAACTCTTGATTTTTAAACAAATTTTCCTTGTCAGCACCTTAGGAAATGTATAGAGATCAGTTTAGAGAATATGCAACTGATTTAAGGGTGTAAAGGGTAAAAAAATGCTCACAGGTGTGAACCTGTTTTTATCAGTCATTATGATGAAACAAAATGTGATTTCCTTTGTGTTTAGGTATCCTGTCATAAGAGCAGTCAAAGGTCTAAAAGGTAACCAAAATATGTTTTTACACAAAGGGTGTGTGGGAGGGTGGGGGGGAGGGGGAAGGTGTGGCATTGAGATCCACAGGGGTCTAACATTCTCCTTAAATTCCATTATTCCAAGATTTTTTCACCAGATCATCCTAATCCCACCCACATCTCCTTCTAAAAGTTTGATTTTTCTTGGAATTTTTCCACTCAACGTCCCATATCTTAGTCCTTTTAATCATAATTTGTAATTGCTACTTTGAAAAGTTTCCAAATGGGAAGTCCCTTGATAACTTCAATATCAATCCTTGTTTCCCCTTCTCCCAAAATTCTGAAAGCTAGGCTTTAAATTAGCTTTAAATTCTATTAGAACCCTTAAAGAACTGAGTGAGGAAAAATTTTCATCTTTACTACTTTTTCAATATTGTTTAGACAACTGCCATTTAGAAATCACAGGCTTGACTCGTTCATGTTTCATTAAAACTTAATAATGATTGGAAAGTTTTAAGTTAGTTAGAAACTTGACTTTTGATGGCTTGGCCTACAGGAAATGCAGCAATTGGTAAAAACAAAGATGACACCTTTCTAAGTGACTACAGGAGTGGAATTTTAATGCACACTGGAGAGTGGGATCATTGGAATCCATCTGAGCCTATGCCTAACAGGTTAGGCCACAACTATTTTATGAAAACTTTTGACTTCCAAGATCTGAAATCAATTCTCTTAGTGGTTTTCCCAACATTTTTTATCTTAGAGGCTATGAGAATTTGATGAAAGATCAACTAATTCATAATGTTTACATCTCTTCCAAACTCAGAGAAAGAGGCAAAAGTAGGGAACATAAACCCTGCAAATTCCAGAGACATTTAAACCATCCCTTCTTCATTTTGCCAATGATTTCACCTTTAGATGGACTATTTGGATAGAGAAAGACTTAATCAAGTTCCATTTCAAATCTCATTGCCCTTTTTATGTATTTTTCTACTTCAACAGTCATGGATGCATACATGTGCACCCAACAGACTTGAAAAACATTGACGATATCCTTGTACACAAGCTGGGTGTGGTTATACACAAAAATCCTTTTGAAGAGAACCCATACCCCTATGTACCTCAAGGCATTCTATCTGTTGAGCAAATTGGCTGATACTTATAGAAATAGCATGTTCCAGGCATTCAGTCAGTTAAGTAGAATATAATGGCAAATGGTACAATAGAAGTGGAGTGAAAAAGCAAGAGAGGTTTAGGTCATGTTTTTCATTCCTCAGCAACATTATTGAGCTTCATTTTTACTAACTGATTGCCTGGAACAGGCTATGATAGTATAAGGAAGTATAACATCACTAAATGAGTCCTTTTCAATCAAGTGTTGTTGAATTGAAACCACGTAATCATTGTAATCACAATGGCCGATCAGAGCAAAGCAAATTTGTCAAGGAGGCAATGGGAACTCAAAATGAACATTAGCCTTAATGCAGGAAAGCAGAAGAGACTAAGTCCCAATTGCTTTTAGTCTTGCATCTAAGTAGTGAGGAGAGTGGTCCAAACTGCCTCAGCTAATCAAGAAGCTAAGTGAAGAAGAGCATTTTTCCATTAGGTGTCAGAAGTAATCTGAGATTTCCTTCCTTCCCATTGTGACTGGTCCACTGTGCCACTCTCTAAGCCAATCAGATGCAAAACTAAACTCAATCACAACTTGGTCATGATCACCCCCCCATTTTCCTGACCTTTACATGATGTGGTTGTGTTTACTGCAAGTTTTGTTGACTCTCAACCCTTCACACCCAGACACCAATATGCATATTCTCCATACTCTTCTCCATACATTTCCCAAGGTGTTAACAAGGAGAATTTACTTCACAATCAGGAGTTTCTTTAGTTGGTGATCATTTTCTTTATTCTTGTTACCATAATGTGTGATTCAGGAGTGATATTGTAAGGAGAATTTGGATTCAAGTCACTCTTAGGGTTTAAAGGGTTAAAGGTATTTTCCTTTCTTCTGATTGGCCATTGTGATTACTTTGGTCTTGGTTTTACAACACTCAATCATAAAGTAAAGCACCCATAAGGCATTGCAGCCCTAGATTACTTTGGACACTTGGCGAAAATTGCTCCAGACTAATAGCGATCAATAATTATCCAAAGAAAAAGAGACCCTTCATTTGTTTGAAATTATATACAAGATTACAAGCTCAACGACTACCCAAAGTTTTGATCTACTAAATGGAGAGATTTCTTAGCTCTTTTCAAAAATTATTAATTGTAGATTAATTTTGGATGTTTTTTCATTGATAGTGATGGTTGCATTCATGTCCACCCTGACGATTTAAAGACCATTGATCAAATTCTTAAAAAGCTTGGTGTGATTGAGAGACAAAATACTTTTGGAAAACTGCCATATCCTTATAAACCTCAAGGTTTGCTCTCAATTGAAGAGATTTTCTCTAGTGAGTCTGTGCCATTCAACAAGGGAAGCATCGACTTATTGACCATGACTACTAAAATTTGAATTACTTTTTCTTTTAACTTTCTACTACCACTTGGTAGACAACATTTGTATCACAGGCAACCCAAGTAGGCTTAGAAATATGCTAAATTATACATATTATTACAAAGACCTTGTGGGGGAATGCAATTGATGTTTTGGTTGTAGCCCTCTAATCACACAATCAATGATACCATAACTTATTGAAGAATTGTAGTAATGAAAAGTTACATATCATCCACTTCCAGACATTTAATGATTAATGAACAGGCTTGGCTATATATAGACAGAGATCTCTGAGTTTATATCATTATTATATTATATCAGAGTTTATAATAAATTGGTTGGCTACACGTTACGTAAGTCTTCTTGCAAAAAAATTGAGTGCAATTCTTCAATGCTCTCATTTTTCATAGATCAGTATTTTAAGTAAAAGGATAATGAACAGAAAACTAAACCCCTTTTAAAATTAAAAACTTTTTTTAACAAGGTGTAGAAATAGTACTCAGGATTGCCATTCAGTACATTTAAACTTCTTTTATTTTTATTCTTACATGACAATTTAATAAATGGTAATCATTACTAGTAAATGCGAGCTCTTACAAAGTAATAATAGAGGCAAACTGTAGACTAGTGATTTGTCCTGAATTGGTTGTCTCTTAATTTACCCTGATGCACCTCATTGATAACATATTTCCTACTAAATTGAATTTTCACATGTTATTTTTGTTTTCGGTAAAAATACCTTGAAAATTTGAACCTGTCTGACCTCAGGTAATACATGACAGTCATGCATTTCCCAAATTTGGTAATACTTGAATGAATATGTACAAATGGTGAATAAAAAACTTTTAAATGTGTTATACTGGTCAACACAGTAAATTTGTTGTGGTGGTTGTTGCATTGTCATTATATCACCATCATCAGCATAATCAACATCATGAACTAACAGTCATAATCACCTTCACCTCTTCACTACCAAATTCTCCAGAAGAGATAAGAATACCTAAGATTCCCACTTCACTGACTTAAAAAAAAGCACTTTCCCAGAACAGACTGGTTTGGTTGGTGGATATCAATATCACATAGATAAGAAAAATATTTTTCTCTGAGTGAAATGTGCTGAAAGGTCCTATTTATTCTAGTTATCATCACAATAAATTATACTATTTCTAGAACAAAGGGGTTTGGTTCATGGGTATCAATGCCATAAAGAAGAAAAATATTTTTTCGATGTGAAATGTGTTGAAAGGTCTAATTTATTCCAGTTATCTTCACAATAAATACCTTTTCATCCCTCCCCCCCCCCCTCCATCCACCTCTCCCTCTCCCTCCATTCCTTTGATCCAAACAATCAGAGTTTGGCATTTTCATGTCCTTGCAAAACTGAACTTTCTAAAATTTCCTTTCCTATCTACCTAAAGAATTTGAAAGGCATAGGTGTTGTAAAAAATAAGGTCTATACACACAAGATAAATTATATCCCAAATGTATATACAATTGGATCATTTGTTGCATCCTTGTGGTATAAATAGTTGGTCTCTTACAACATGCTACACCTCCCAGCTGTCCATCCACTTGTAGACTGCAGCAGTTGAGTCAGGAAGATGAGCCATGGGGCCAGACATACCATAGGAGAGTCCTCGGAATAACCAGAAACTGTCAAGGAGGGAAATGAAGTTATTAATGATATTTTAGTTTTATTACACATTATCACTTGTGAAGGTGGAGTTAATGGTGTAATCATGGCCAACCCTCAGAGTAGCACTTCAAAATGTTGTTGCCACGTGTTATGCAACAGCCCAACCCAGGACAATACCAAATCAGCCAAACAGGAATCACACCAAGAATACACCAAGATCTTCCTATGATTGCCCTAGGATCCTGCCCAGATTAAGCTGTGGCAGTTTGAAGATCTCTCCAATGCAACATGCAATTGATGTAAGGCCCCTCAGTGAACTCACATCCATTACAGATTTTACATCAGATTTTACATCTGTCTGTCCATCACATATTAAATATCCAGTCTATCCTTGTGCATTTAAGTCACTATCAGTTGCAACTTTTCGAACATTTAAGTAGTTGGTATCTTCAACAGGCTCAAGGTGAGACAAAACTCCTGTCTTGTGCAAGAAGATTTGACTGTTCACCCTTTGGCCCTTAACAGAGAATAGCATCTAATTTCTAATTACAATATATGTCACCCCTGAATCACACATTAAGGTCATGAGAATAAAGGAAATGATCACCAACTAAGCAGGCTCCTGATTGTTGAAAAACTTCTCCTTTTCAGCACAGTAAGGAGAATATGCATGCTGATTTTAGGGTGTAATTTAAAGGTTAAACTACCTGATGATACATCCAGCCAGAAGCAAGCATATAGTACTGTAGTAAACCATCTCTTTAAACTTTTCAAGCTTTGGAAGCATAGCTACTGATTTGCACAAATATTGGCTCACTATACCTGAAAATCAAACAGTAACCTTACTTTCACTAAATAAAACATACTGGATAAAATGAACCAAAGAGAATGGATCCTCCATGTTGTCCTACATTGTTCTTTAGAAGTTAATTCTTAAGCCAGCAGACAAGCTATAATTGGCGCTACAAGCAGTTTCATCCATCAGATAGTTCAAGTTGCCAAGCAAATCAAGCCAATGATAGGTTTAAAAAGGCTCTTGCAACTGGGCTAGTCAAGATCATTGTGTGTATATATTGTGTGTATATAAACATTGCCAAATAGCAAACAAATACCAGGGTAAATCTTTTCATACACTACTAAACAAATCCCACAGACAGATGTCTTGCATTTACTGCAGTACGGAATTCTTTAATCAGCCTGAAACCTGATAAACACTTCACAGTCATAATGAAGTATCTAGTTTATAACTCACCAGCCATCATGGCACTGTAGAGATAAGCAGGAAAATAGTGATGGAAGTACAACACTCGACCCATGGCATAAAAGGGAAAATAATGCAAGGCCCAACCAAGGAACAACCAACCAGAGGCTGACTCCATTCTTTTCCTACGAGCTGAAATCAGAGATAAGAGAGACGATTTATACATCTTGATCCCTAAAGTGACCCAACACCTGAAATAGTTATTCTTTTTCTTTGATTGTAAAATTAGAACTGATGTGTACGAATGTACACGCTATTGTAACCCTGTAACTCACAGAAGTGATTAACATGCAACTTCTCCCTGTAATATCCAAACATTATCCACCAAACAGGTAATGAGAATACAAACTATCAGGTAGAAGTTGTTATCTTGATCTGATCCCAAATTCTTGTAACTAATTTACAAGAAAATGTGTAGCAGCCAGAGGGGAGAATTAAAAATCAGATCTTGGGAGTTAAAAGACTAAGATGCCGAGAGGTACATAACTGCCAATGCTTATCTCTAGTTTCTGTAACATAAAGCAACAACACACACTTCTTGTTCCCCTAGATTAAATGCAAGTTCATTAAAAGATAATCCACCCAACAATTTGTCAGATTTCGCTTAAGTTCACCAGTGTGCATTTTTACTCCTCAGTGGGGAAAAAATTGTCAGACCTAAGTATCTTGCTCAAGAACAGAATGGGAGAACCTGCTCAGAGCTTGAATGCCAACTTTTTAGTTCTGAGATGAGTGCACTTAAGCCATAAAGCCATCACAACTTCTCCAGTAGTAATTTACACTACAAGAACATTTTTAAACAATAGCCAAAATGGGTATATTGGTAATACATAACATGATCATAGAATTATTTCGATGTATAAAACAATGCTAAATTCTGGAGTTTTACTCAGAGAGAGATCCAGAACTGGCCAAGACAAAGAATTTAAATTAACACCGCAAAACCTATTTTAAGAAGGTGAAAACACACAGCTTAGGAGTAGCAAGGGAGAAGCTTGTACCTTGTTCTACAGGTGGATCAATGAAGCCTCTTTGTGTTCTTACAGCATGGAAACAATACAGCAGGCCAAACAAGCACATAATTCCCAATATGTACCACCAAATAACCTGAAAGCATTGTGGAGAAAAAGAATGACTAAGTGAATCACATTTATTTGATTACTTTAATTTGTCCCATCAAAGTGCAAGTTACATGTCTTAAGTGTGTTTTTTAAAAGTAAAACAAAAACTCACTGGATTGCCAAGGAGATAGACACGATAATCTGCACCAGAAAATACCTGACCCTGCAAAATGAAATATTGAGAAGTGAGTAATTTGTAACCATTTACACCCTAACATCAGAAGGCATAATCTCTTTATTGTTGTATCCCTACATATTTCCTTTTTTTCATAACACCAAGTACATTCATTGAAAGTTTCATACATGAAGTGATGTTAGTGAATGGCAGTCCATTGCTACTAAACATTGACAATTCATGCAACATGCTGGATTATGAGCAGTTCCTGGTTTTCAGCAAAGTCTGTCCCTCAAGTAAAAAAAATCAGTGCAAACATACATTGATGTTAGTGCACCAAACTAAAAATTGAGATAAGGCTCACAAAAGAAGGCACTACAGACTTAGCAATAGTTCCATGAGGCATGTTGATATCAATTATTTTTTCAACTGATCTTTTTTATTCTCACCACACACTCTGCTGAAAAGGAGGGGCTACTCATAGTCTAGTGACACACCTTCTACATACTGCTAAGATCAGCAATGTCAAAAGCATCATGTGAGTAATTATAGGATAAGAATGGTGGTAAGATTTTAGCTAGGTAGTAAAATTAAAAAATGTAACATCTTCTTTTCAATCTATTTATCTAACCCGGTAGTTAATTGGCCACTGCCAGGGTTGTGAC